CCCCCCCCCCGCGGATTCCGAGAAAACGACCGATAACGAAATAAAACAATTCATCCCGGATAGCCCTTGGTCTATTTCTATTGCATAGGCCGCGAATCGCTCGGACTTTAGTTATCAGTAAGTAATCCGCACGGCGTTGCGAGATCGATAAGAAAATCGATTTGATCGACTCCAGTCGAGTGCTTGTAAATACGATAGAGCGCGAACACGAGTTTTCTCTCGACTCCGTAAGTACGAGTGTGTATCCGATGAAACGAAAAAACAATTGCATTCAACTTCGACAATGAAAAACCATGGCTTTTTAAGCGATAACAATTTTGAAGGGGTAACCCTACTACGTGTTTTAGTTTTTTTTATTTAAACAAGCAACACCGGGCAATAATCGACTAATGGGGTAAAAAAAAATTCAACTTATTCACAGCCCTCCCCGAACGAACAAGCGACGAGATACAGACAGAAAAATAAACCGTGAAAATCAATCCAGAGACAAATTTATTCGAAATGACAATCCCGAGCGACGGCAGTTTGACACGTTGATAAAAAAAAAAATTCAAACACCTCCGACTGCATGAATATTGGAAAAGTGTAACCAGCCCTCTATTATAACACATGTGTGCCATATAAACCATTATTATCCAGTGAGTAAAACGAAGGCCGATACGATTAATAGTCGATCCGTAATATTCGCAAATACCTGGTGACATTTTTTTGAAAATTCACTATCTGCTTCTGTTTAAAATAATTCGCTACTTGAGATTGAATATTCCGTAGATATCCAGTAGGATATTTCAGTGGCACGAGATAAATATTTACCTTGACCGTTTGCCCATGGTAAGATTCGAGAATTTCAATCATGACGGTCAGGAGCCAATGGGTAAATCCGGACTCCTGCCTCGTCAAAGACTTCGATCCTCCGTATTCCTCATTCCCTGTCCCTAATTATCCCTTTACTATGTTTGACTGATTTGAGGCTTTGTGTCTTTGACTCTCTGACGTTTGCACTGGCAGCCAATAAATACTTTCGTTCCATTGAAAGCGACCCTAATACTGCTTCCCTTCTGTGACACAGGAATGTCCGTGTATATAACGCCTACGTAAGTTACGCACGCATAACACGTATGGAAACGCTGAGAATCGTAGGTGTACAGGACCGAAATTCAAGTGACTCCATTTCTGCGAGCGCAGCGACTTTCGAGCAACCTAAGCACGAAATTAAAACGAATTCCAGTGCAAAGAGAATTCTGTGTACAGCCCGAGAGAAAAATAAGCTAGTGGCTTACAGACGTTATCAAGGGCCTGATAGAAAAATTCAATCCACTAAAATTTTTAATGTTCGAACTCGTCACCGGACGAGACTCGACTAATTCGATTGGAATTACTTTACTTGTAAAATAAGCGATATACAAGATACCCGTGTAAAAAGCACGTGAGAGCTCATCTCCGACGGGTGGCGAGTCAACTGTAAGAGTGTCGAGGTCCAGAGAGAGCCCAAGGGTAACAGGAATAACGAGAATGGAGAAAGAAGGCCGAAGAGAAGACTGCAGAACGTAATGGAGAGACAGAGATAGAACGAGAGGATACTGTACGTTCATATTTTTCTACAGCCGGATGCGAGCGCGCGTCAGAGAATAGGAATGACCTTTAAAATTAATATGATTAAGAAAAATTACTCACATTTATCGAACCCCGCCGATAACGTGGATCGATGTGAAACCGGCGTTCCAATTCTTTGTTCCACGTTTCCTCGCTCTCTCGTAAACCACGAAGATTTTCACTGAACTAAACTGAAGGGTGCAACTCGGCATGAAATGAAATGCTCCACAGCAAGGGAGAGAACACAGTATAGAGGGGAAGTTCGGATCAGAACGAGGGTGCCTGAGTGTGTACGCGCGTACATGTAGAAGGCCACAAACTTAAAACGAACCACACAGGCACTGCTCACGACTAGTGTTCAATAAAAAGCTTAACCCGGTTTAACACGTACAAGATATTCTATTCACTGTCGTCAAGTTCAAAAGGTTTAAAGTAATGCAAGCGAATGGCGACAAGGCTTAACGATCCCGATTTCGATTCTGACGGACCTTTATTGTTCGCGAACAGGAGCAACGAAACAGCCCCTCGAACGGTCGCGGCTCGACTGAGGCGCCGGCGTGTTTATTCCCCCCACTACCCGGTACCCCTACTCTCCTATTAACCCCCTCCCTCACTCACTATACATCCAATTTCTTCCCCTACAACGCTTGGACGCCTACGCCCGGGGCTCAGCTGTCGCGCAGTGGTGCTCACGAACATTCACTTCTCTTTATCGAATCATCTTCTTATTATTATCTGCTCTTGATTATTAACTATATATTGCCTTTTGCTCAAAATACTCAATAGACTGCCAGGGCATCTTCTATCCTCTTTAAAACGCCGTTCAGTACTCGTGATACAGTAAACTCACGGGAAAAACCTCGAATACGTTTGTACGCTGTCTCGAGGAAATCTCATGATCCTTTAGCTTGGGACTTTCATAGCATCGAGGATAATCCAATAAGACTCTGTAGTGTCCACAAGTCGTATATTATTAGTTACAACCGATAAGGAATCGCTTACAGGAAGTAGCTCGTTAAATCCTCCTAAAATATAAATACTGACAATCATTTCCGCAAATCTTTTCCCCTATAGGTATTACGAGTGAGTTTACTTAGCTCGAATGAAGCGAGAATGGATTCTAATACTAATTACAGCCAGCGTTAGATCAAAGGATTAATCCGTGCCTTAAGTCAGATATGAAATACGTAAAAAAAAATTACAAATGTGTCTCCATTGGAAACACTAATTATTACTTTTTCTTATAACGATAGTTATTAATACGCGTCTGTTTCCTATTCGATGAACCTGGAGAATGATTATTTTTGGATTCATCTCCAGTACGAGGCAATTTATCACCATTAATCTCATAGGCCACCCAAGAACGTACGCAATTACGTATATACGTAATTATCCCTCGGTCTCGATAACGATTCGACGTAATCTCCAAACGTGCTTTATTATTAGAGATGATTCTTCTCAAAGTCATCTTACCTCGTCTGTAAATAAAAAAAAAAAAAAGTAAAATTTTAATTCTTCACAAACTTTAAACCCACCCACGCCTTTGCCTTACATACTTATCTCAATCCACTTGGCTCCTGTCGGAATCGTCGTGGGAAGGAGATTCCGTGTGAAAATAAAAATAAAAAAAGGCCTCAGCGAACGCGGGAGGAACGTTGAAATTCAAGGAAATCAATAATTTTCTTTAGCTTGGGGTATGCCAGAAGAGTAACCCCTCGTTTAATCTACTCAAGGGGAACTTCTACCCTAGAGTGCCCACTCGTACAGTAGACAGACTTCTATGGATCGATTAACGCATTATAAGGGGGTCCCATTAAAAATCTCGTTAAATGCCAAGAACGTTCGATCGTTACCCCGTAGGTAATAAGTATGCATCAGTCAGCAGCGTTGCAATGCACAATGGCGCGTGCTCGATTTAAATGATAAAATTTATATAATTCGACAGTGACGATAATAATTTTCATGAATAACCGTTCAATTCTATATCCGATGGGTGAACCAACCTACAAAAATTATATGGAACATTGAATTATTCTAAATTCTTTTTCTTTACATTCAAGTTCATAAATACGATATTTACCTCAATATAGTTATAATCGGCTGATATTGTTATCATGTATCATGGGTATACAAGTTTTAAGTAATCATGATCTCGACCACGTAACGAGTCGGATTTTCAATATAACTTTTGTCGCCTTCCTTCCTCGTATATTCAGTCACTGCAATTACTCTGGGACTGCATGCCGCCTCATTCACGTCATACACTGAAAGAATCCTCATTTAGTAGGAATTTATTAAGGGAACGCAGTCGCTGAAATTGCATAGCTGCAGAATTGAAAGGAAGGACGAACTTACTCAGTTTTTATTGACAGTCTTGCTCTTTCCGATGTAATTTACATCGTCTTTCGTTGCCATGTGGATGAGGCTTGAATCAATATGCGCGCACATGGAGATAGGCATTTACAGACGTCAGGGCAACTATGCGGCTGAAATAAAATGAAAAATTTTTTTTAACATAAAAATAAAATTTTATCCATTTTCAAAATTTTTCTTCGTTTTCGTACATTGCTATGGAAAAAAAAAATGGATGATTTTAAGATGGAAAATTTACGAACTCCGTTACCCGATATTCTTTTTGTCATTTTCTGAAATCCATTTTTCTTTTCCTCGTTTTCGTATTCGACCGTGCAAAGTTGATTCAACGAAAACCTATTTGACAACTTTAATGGCGTCCATTAAGCTGGCGAAATTACGACGTAATCTACTTTCGTAAATTCATTCCGAGTCGCGGGACATCATGAATATTAATATCTTTCTTCAGAATCTCGTTCAAAGTTATACTCTTTTGCGAAATTTTCGAGATCAAGAAACTTTTGAGAAATTTTGGAATTTTTTGACCAAAGGTTTTGTCGAAACGAAAATTAAATTTAAAAATTTGATATTTACCCGAACTTTGAAATTCGTTAAAATAACATAACTTCCTGATCGTTATGTATTTACGAAACACGTAGCGTGCAATGGGATTGCGTATATTCAAAATGCCAATCAAATCTCACGCAAAAGTCTGGATAAACTGAACTATATATTATATAACAATCTGTATGCTTTGCACATACTATACGTATAGAGCCCATGGCTCCACGATTGGCTCTATGATTAATAGAATTAAACAATGAATCATGACGTTTGATCTGTAACTCTTATGATCATTGTTCAAAATAGCAATGAAACACAAAGCAGTCACAGAGCCAAGCGTTCGGTTTAGTAATGATCAAAGTCATTACCGTAACCAGTCATATGTAAATCTAATAGATAAAGAGACCGTTTCGTTAACGATCCGCAGACGCTCGCGGTGATTGAATTTTCTACAAAAGCCAACGTGCTATGCTCATTGTCATTGAAAATAGATAAAATAATCACAATGTCAGTACAAAATTTGACGCCGCCATTATTCATAGCCCTTTGATGCCCACGAATAACTATAGAAAAGCCACAAATCGATTGTGATCGCAATACAGTATACAGATCAGAAAAAAGAAAAACCATCAAACAACGAATAGCCCACATAGTAATTCCATGTAAAAATAAACAAACCGTCGCGTAAAAGAAAAAAAAAAAAAAGAAAACTAAACCAAGATGATCGAGACGAAAGAAAAATTCCAACCAATCGAAGCATCGGGGTCGATCCTCGTGACTGAATTTTTCGAAAATACAATATTTTACGAAATATTTGATAAAATTTCACAATCAGCATGCCACATCACTTTCCAACGTAAGTTTAGATTATAACTATCGAAATCCTCTTAAACGACTAACCTAATATCTTACAAGGTATGAATTTTGACATTTAACATAACAAAAGTCAAAATCGAAGGTCATCCACGATAACACTTAAATAGATAACGGTACGAAGCATTAGTAAAACTATCATATTGGAGAACGCAGTGCTTAATAAAATTAAAGGCTATACAGGAAATGGTCTGTTCTGAGCGTCGTTAGACCATCAAGGACGTGGCCATGCATTGTAATTCTTATTCCAGAAGTTCCTCTCCGTCTCTTTCATCCATGAACTATGCAAGTGTGCGCGCTATGCTATCTGCACCAACGTCCGTGCCCGAGCGCCAATGAGAGAGAGTGTGAGAGAGAGAGAGAGAGAGAGAGAGAGAGAGAGAGAGAGCGACCGGTCTGCCTGAATCACTATTCAGTTTTACACTCTCACCTCTGACGGGCGTCACGATGAGTCACTAACAGGTTCGCCTTTTAGCTTTGTGAATTTCAAGCTACCCGAGTGGCCCCCTCTCTTGCGCAATATCAAAGAATATTCTAAAAGATTCAGGAAGCGACTCCCTCGTCCAGTCCGTTGCTCTCGCGATCATCATTGCCAGCGACTGATCGATGACTGTTGATTGGCATCTTGAAAAAGTCAGTAGGTACGACCGGACGTGCCCAGACTTCCCATGGACTGATCGGCCGTTCGATGACAGCCTTCGAAATTGTTATTTAATATTCCTGCTGCCGGCAAGAGCGGATCCTGTGAATAAAATTGCCTGTTAGATGAGCGTCGGTCATAAATGAAAGCGCCTGTACTGCGCTAAACTCAATTATGTAATTTTATGACATAACCAAATATTTTTTTACACAATTTTTCCTTACCGATCTTGTCCTTGATCGTCATCCCGTCCTTCATTCTTAATGTGAATTAAACTTTCACGTGTTTTTACATTCAAAGAAAAAAACCTTCCGAATAGCATTCCCTTTCGATGTCCGCTTCCGTTCTGTGTCGCTGAATATTACATCAGATACCTTCTTCGACTATACCTGAATGATCGATCGGCGTATCGTACGGGTCATCGGTCACTCTCGATCATTGCAGGACGAATAGGAGCCACGTGGGTTCGCGACAATTTTGCAGAATGAATCACAGATATTTATCATGTATCCGTGTCACCTCGTGAAAATAAGTCACGTGAGATCATCCAGTAAGCCGAGTTCCTCTTCTGAAAAGAAAAAGAAAAAAGAAAAAAAATGTATTTCGCGTGATTCATAAAAAGAGAATTACCTGGTATACGTCTGGCAGAGAGATAAAAAAAAAAGACCGGACAAATTAGCAAATGCATTACGCGCGATACGAGAACCAAGCGTGTGTTTTCCTCGTTTACTTCGTTTTTTCGTATATAAAAAAAAAAAAAGAAGACAAAATCTTTCCGTCTAATTCGCAAAGTGTATACCCACTGTGTACATATTTGCCTGTTAAACGCGGTTCGCGGTAATAAGGCAAAAACTCGGCGAGGCGAAGTCTCCTCGAAATTTCACATGATTTAGCGACGATCTCGACGTGGTTGGTTTATACGTTGTAGATGCTTTATGTAGCCGCGTAACGCCATCCATATAACAAGCTCGCACGATATGGTCCGTATAAGCCATAAGGACTTGCTATGTACGTTAACATTATTACAGAGAAAGGTGTTATTTTGATAAACAACCCATTTACATCCAACTGCTTAAAATATGCGTGTGTTTCACGGTACGTGCCAGTAAGACTACATACGGTATATGTATACATATTTAAATATATATATGTAACACAGTAAGATGTGTGGCTGGGATACATAGGAGTAATGATTCACGTGGTGCAAGCTTATCAACTGGTATTTGTAATATATAATCAGATTAAAGCCTGCTAATAACATATACATAGATATGTGTCATTTAGTATTAAAAAACATAAATCAAAATGTTACCAATGCATGGTAATTATAGTGAGACAATGATACATTTTTTAATGAGAATTCGAACTTATTTTTCTTGTATTAACTTCAATGGAAATTCGCGAGAGCGCTTTTATAGGTAAAATTGCAGTACAGGATGCACCAGAAGAAATGCAGTCGATCGGGTGTAAGAGATTTCAAAATCGACTTGCATCAACTACAATTTATTAACGTTTATAATCCGCCTATGCAGATATCTGGAATGGTTCGTATTTCATTATTGGTTATTGATATTATTTTCATTTTATATGTATAAAGATATAGCTACGCTTCGATTACGTATCTATGGATTTTCGATTCATCCTAAATTGATATTCAATACTGACTGTAAATCATAATCGTATACATTGCGTGTGTATATGCTTGGTTAGATACACTAGTGGTTGATTTATAGTTCAAGTAGAGTATCTCTTATTTACTTATTCGAAACTGATATTAATATATTTTTGATAGTATAGCAGATATATATTATCGAAAACCAATTTTTTTTAAATATAGTTATATAGACAATCACTGTAGGCTATATCAACCTCCTCGTATGTACGTAAGGTCGGCGAGGTTAATATGGGTGCCTATAAAACTTTTTCCAAACGTAGAGAACGAAATGGTCTTGGATATTTTTTTTGAGTAGTTTCCAAAGAAGCGTAGGTTAAGACAGAGGAGCGACGGAGTTTTCCACGTGCCTATATGCGGATGTTATGAGTTTTATTTCCTTTCTGTGGAGAAACGATAGCATTATCGTAAATTGGCTATAGAAAAAGGTAGAGAAAGAGACAAAGAGAAAAAAAGACTTGCCGTTCGTATCCTGTGAATCATGGCCGACCATGTAAGGGCAGCCGTAGTCGTTATCCAGGTCTTACAACATCTAGCGGGAAGATATTTGATGCTCCTTGCACAGAACAACACACTGGGTATAGATTTTGTAAATAAATAAATAATCAGACAACGAACAGAGAAAGGATGCTACGCATCTAGGCGAGTTTACGAGAATCCAGTTTTTTTTTCTGACGATCCTTAAACGGCACTCGATTTCCTTTTTCGATGAAAGCACAATAAATTCATAGCAACAGCACTGTACCATAAATAAATCATCCGGACGAACCAAATTTTATTTATTAATTATATCATGTCAAAACGTAATAAAACACACTGGATATAGATTTAGTAAGTGAATAAATAATCAGACATCGAACAAAGGGTGCTGCGCATCTAGGCGAGTTTACGAGAATCCAGTTTTCTTTCTGTCGATCCTTAAACGATACTCGATTTCCTTCCTCGATGAAAGCACAGAAATCCATAGTACCGTACCATAAATATATCATCCGGCCAAACAAAATTTTATTTATTAATTGTATCATGTCAAACCTCAAGCTGAATCACCGTCAAGTCAATCGATCGTAACCCCATCCTGATCTTTTAATATCTTATAGAGATACCACACCCCATCTGTCGATTTAACACGCGAGTAACCCAATAGCATCAGCCAAGGTAACACCATAATAAAAAGACGCCATTATACCTAAATTCAAAAGGGAATTTAACGTAAAGGCAAAAGATAGGCTAAAGCAACGCCGTCGCGTGTCTTCCACTGCATCGTCTGCTAACTCTATGCTTGTCGCCGCCTGCCTGGCGTGCGGCGTCCAGTGACATCTGTAGCGAGTTTCAAGAAATTCTTAACGAAGTAACATTCAACTTTACGTCAAAGAGAATAACGTGTACCGGTACATATTCGTATACGTTCCAGTGAATCATAACCAATAATTGTGTAGAACGTGTACTGTATACCTGTATGGTAAAGATCGAGTGAAGTTACATGGAATATACATAAATTCCTTGGGCGAACAACAGTAGCGGCAATTTAGTGTGTTAGTTTTCGACAGGAAGGTTGGTAATAACCCTAGGTAAGCTTAGCCATAGAAATAGTCCGCGGGGAAGAAGGAAGCGCGGTAAAGCATTTCTCGCGTCGAGTTCCTACCACTGACTTTACTCCAGTAGCCTAATTTCCACAGGAACAAGTGGCATAATTGGTAGCTGTTCGAGCATCGCATTTGCATAGCCGGACACGTAAGGAGTTTTACTGCGAAACGTACAGAGGTAGACCGTAGACGAAGACCCCAAGAGATTTGGCGATGCCCGACGCCGCAGCGCACCGGTTGCCCTAATATGCGGGCCGTATAAATTAGCAGTATTTCCTTAGAGTCTGTGCACATATATATACACCTCTCGCCTTCTACCGTTTATGCATTTTGCATGCACCTCGCAACATGAACGGCCGCGCCGAGATGCCAACGCCGACGTCGTTCTGCCATATCGGACTTAACTGGCAATCTGTTACGCTTTTGGTATAACCTTACCAAGGGCTTGGTGATCTGGTTTAATTAACGGGAACGGGGTAAATGAGGTATGTTTTCCAGTAGAATTTTTAATGGCATTTTATTATACGTAAGTCATACAACATTTAGATTCCTTATGGAATCCTATTACATTCTTATTTCTATCCTTAACTTTGCGACATCTTTTTTTCGAGGTTATGCGTTTATTCCTCAAAGTGGTTAACCCTGTCAGAGTCCATACCCGGGCATCGATTCTTTTTCGCGTGACTTCAGACCTTAGAAATAGTGATCTTGACTGAGCTGTGCTACGAATTTGTATAGAAATGCGCTACTTTCGGAGCTTGCCAAATAATTGCGTAAGTAACTCGACGTCGGAGCATATAATTCACGGGCGATTAAGCGACGGAGGCCCTAGAGCACAGAGGCAAACAATTCAGGGCTCGATGTTGGGGTTGAGGCATCGCGAGTGTGAAATTCGAATAACAGAGAGAAATTTGTACGTAGCACGAGGACTTCGAATAAATAGGAAATAATACGATCTGAATTCGTGCTTTCGTATACAGTATCACCGTACAGAACGCGATGCTCTTACAGACAGTTAACCAAGGTAAATGTCCACTGAAATCACTTTATTTTCCAGAGCCTCTTTAATTCCGGATAATTTCACGGAACATCAGCGTCCTCCACATTGTATACCTATACCTGCCGCATTACGTAACAGGCTCAATATCTCTTTACTGCTTCTGCCGTATTTACCCCGGAGGTAGCCATTTGTATTTTTACCTGCCCAACGGTGGAAATCTCCAACGGTCAAATCTACGATTCGTGTCAGTATACACTTTGACCAAGGTCCTTTTAATTTAACCTTTAACCCCGCAATGTCACCGTCGACCAATTAACTTCATCTTGATGAAACTGACAAGCGCTCGCTGACGTCTTCCGTCTCTGCGTAATCATCAGTCGTAACTTATTTTCAGCCATTACCGTCTCGTTTCTTCATTGCCGAATTCCATTTTCCAGGGGAGAAAAGAAGAAATACCTATATAAGGGTGGATAGAAAAAAAAAAAGAAACGTATACGACATTCTCCGTGGCTGATCGCGTGCCCAGAGATTGCCTTCGTGGATCGTTTCCGTTTCCGAGGCAATTTCGATTCATTATTAAAAAGGCTTTCTTTCGTAGCTCTCTCTCCTTCGACCTCGGAATCTCGATAAAAAATGTTCTTTGATATCCTCCACGAAGGAGCATCGATCCAAACCCAAAGAACCTTCTTCCTGCCGGCATCAATATTGACTCGCTGGTTGAACGCTAAATGGGAATCGAAAATTATGCTGGCCAATCGAGAAAGCTTTGCTTTGGAAATTAAATGAAAGCTCAGGTTACGAAAGGTTTGCTATTTGGCTTAAAAGTCTTTACCACCCTGATTCCTTTTTTTTTACATTCAAATATTTTACATTTCAGACTCCGTTGGTAACCTGCTTGGAAATACATACAGAGAGAGTTGGACAAGATTTTTTTAAGAGGACGATAAAGAAGTTTGGGAAATAAGTTTTCACGATTTTCACGTTTCACGATTTGTTCCAATGCTTTATTGTGCAATTTACATTATTTCTCTTCGTATTACGAATTGCAGACGAGGAATACAAAAAAAAAAAGCATAAAACGTCTGCGAGTAACACGTTACTTCATACTCGAGTATAAATTTGCTGTGGAAACTTGTCGACGATATAATTTATACTCTTGGGACAAAACGAGAAACCAACGTGGGAATAAATATTACTTCGGCCTGACGAGGTGATTATCAAGTCGTCGAGCGTCGGGACGTTACTGTGACGCCGTTGCGAAAAATATTTTTAATTGTCGCGGTAATTACTTTCATGGCAATAACTCGTAGCCAGGTAGAACGAGGGTGAAGGATAAAAATAGAATATAGGAACTGCGAATTATATATGAATTTATATGTGTGTGTGTTGGTTGTGAAAATTTTGCAATTTCATTTCGTTACATTGGCTGCACTCGTTCACGATTGCCAATTTAGCGATATGAATTTTACGATAAAAGTTTTTTTTTTTTTTTTTTTGTTGAATTGCAAATTATTACGGCCATGTGGAAATTGCGAGATTATAAACTTTTTATATTATTCGGATCTGTATACCTATATGCGCGTAGAGTACCACGTTACGCGGTATAGCGATGTCTTACGTCTTCGAGAGTTCTTTCTCAAAGCTTTGGTTTATTTTTGTACTGTATTGGAATTCGAATCGAAGAAGTTTGTACCCTGTGTTATTCTATGAGCGTTCGGACGCTACGATAAAATTCCACGTGTGCGAATATACGCTGTTTCTGCTCGTAGCTGCGTATAGCAAAGATTTCGCAAGTTATCAATAACAGTTTGTGTAAGGTCGATAACAGCTCGATTCAGCATATAGTAAATATATTGGCAAATAAGAATTACGATAAATTCGCAACACAGTAACGTTATATGCAAACATTAAAAATACATACGAAAGGAAAGTACATTGACGCGAATGAAATAATGTAAATTATGAGAAATGTAAAAAAAAAATGGCAAAAAGATAAAATCCAAGACCCACCGGTGGGTGAAGGAAATCGCAAAGACTCATTGGCGAATTAGCATACGGAGATGAGTTTTTGGCCTTTTGCACCTTTTGCACCTTTACTTAATGAGAAGAAAGAGAGTTCGGTATACCGAGACAAGATAATTTGAAAGATCGGTAATTATTCGCTTTTAATATTTTAATGAAATATTTTATACATACCTTTCTTCTCAAAACGGTAGTCCCAGCCTTCTTGACATTTTTCCCAAGAACACACGGAAACACGAATGTGCAGTATATCTGTCATAGGAAAAATTATTCCATAGCCCATTCGTATTTTTAAAAAATTTCAAAACATTAACTGTTCTTCCAAAGGCTTTCCTTGTCTCAGAAAATGTACCAATTACTTGGTGAATCCCCCGCCCCGAGTCGTCCAATAATTTTTCAACCTCCTCTCCAGGAGTACCTAGGACAATCCTTCCGAACATACTGACCGTCCCCAGTAGCAATATATGAAAAAGACATTGAAGAAGAAAAAATAAGAACACGAAGAAAAGTTGTCTCCAGAAATAGTAACAGCAATAGCAGGTAGGTTACAGCCCAAGATCCCAAGCATCGGAGTAGCAGCAGCAGCAGCAGCAGTAAAAGCGGAATGGTTAATAGGTAGGTCACGCTCAACCTGGAGTCACGTCAGTGCTGTAACACCGTCTACTCCCTCGTCTGCGCACTGGTTCGCCGTAGAGCCGAGGCGACGGTAGATTTCGAAGGGCCAAGGAGGAAGTTCTGAGGGGGGCTCGGGGGGAGGGGTTGAAGAGTTTACGCGAGGGACAAAGGGGGTGGTTAGGTGGCTGAAATCAAGGACGGAGGGTGAAGGGAGGCACAGGGGTTCTTGGCCGTTCGAACAAAGCAGCCAATCTGCGGAGCTTGAACTAGGAAACCTTCGAGCGGGCATCTACCCCGACACTAACATCAGTGACGACGACAGGAGGGCAGTTTCGCCAACGTAGCCAAGAGCCGCTGCCAGCCACTCGAAGATTCAAATGTCACCCTGAAGACTGGCTGAAACAAGGGAGGATGAAAAAAAAGCCTCTCGGTCCACGTTACGTAACGGCCATCTTGTTGGCTTCTCGTTACCGATCTTCCCCGCGAAGAAAACTTTTCTTCAAACTTTCTTTCCCTTTCTCTCTCTTGTTCTTCTTCGCCCCCTTCCTCTGCCACTCTTCGATGGGGCGAGCGCGCCTTCGTCGAGAAGTTTAATAAACGCCTGGAGACGGAAAAAGAAAAATAAATGCACTAAAGAACTGGAGGTTAGGGACTTCAGGATTGATCCTAGGGCTCAGGATGATGATGATCGTTTGCGACCTTAGCTCCGGTCTGAATTAAGTCCTTTTGTGGATCCAGGCAATCCTTTCTAAATTGCTTGGACCTGATCGCGACCCCTGTTTCGGTCATGGGTACACGCACAAGGAAAGGGATGATCTTTCGGTTGAGATCGGATCGTTACTTCGGTTGGAACTCGCTTCAAGGTCGATGATAAGACTATGATCCCACTCTGGAGAAACCGAGGTCAACAGGGATTCCAAGTCTGATCATCTTAAATTCGTTTAAAGAGACACCCTCGGAGAGCATACGGTAGCGATAGAGAGGACAGCCGAGCTAGATAATGACTACGCGAGTCAAGATGTCAGCCAATCGAGTTCAGAGTTCAAACAAGACACCCTGGACAAAGGTGGAACATTTTTTGAGCACGGCTCTAAGTAGCCTCGGGTTTCGCCACTCGGTTGAAGTTAGCGAAATTCGCCAGGATCACCAGTGGAATACGGAATTCGAGATCGCCGAGCGTCGGGACGTCAGAGACAAAACATGGTTGGTTTTAGAGAAGAGGGACAACGAACACAGGATGCTGGGTCGGAGATGAGGGAATGAGCGAAAAATGTTGACCGAGCCCAAAGCCAGGAGGTAACTAGACTGTCGGTCCAAGTCGGAAACGGAAGTGGGATGAAACAAGCGCTGATGAAGTTATCCTGAGATTCTCTGCGTGGATATAATTTATCCCAACTAAGTATCTTTGGTCCATGCAGACCCCTCTGCATCTCCAGCCGACTTTACTCGATTTTGATTATTTTTCAAAATTTCACTCTTTCATGAGATCCAAGATTATTTTATCCTTGACAAATTTTTTCCTCGGTCCACCGACCCCGCTCCTCCGTCATCCCTGTACATAGTCACAATCTTACATCCTATTGAATCTCAATGATCATCCAGAATCTATAAAATATAACTGATCTCTTCGGTATCTGCTCAGCTGGTACAAGTTCCAAGAGCTTGGTTATTAAACTCCCACAGCTTCCCCTTTTTTTTCTGTTTGCTTACCGTACACTATACCAGTTTCATAACGTTTGTGTCTAGCCGCGAAAACCAATAGGGAGAAGAGAAGAGAGAAGAAAGAGAAATAAATAAAAATAAACTCGCCTCCAGCCTCCGACGAGTTTCCGGAATTTACCTCGGATGACTAATAAAAGTTGGCGAGAGAGAATCCTGCGCTTCGCGGTAATCTTGTCAATGCCTTGCGGGTTAGAAGGCCAGGATCGGGGAGGTGAGGGCTTCTCGAGTGAAGTCGTCCACGGAAGCCTCGAAGCATAGTACACACAGGGGTACCAACCCTTTTTTAAAATCTCCCTACGATTACTACTTTATCGCCCTGACGTAATTCAAGGTCTGAAATTTGAACTTTTTGACAATTCCCTTTTTAAATAAAAAATAAATTATACCGAAAAATGTCATCTACCTGATTGCCACTTACTTTGGACTGTTCGATTTAATGGCTTAATTATTCTTCGTACGTTATAACACATATTTCAGTACTACCGCCTACAGTTCATATTAATCACCCGGTATACCCATAAAGACTTGACACGTTGTTATGCCTATTAAGCATTACCAACTCCCTATCATTAAAGAGAAAATTTAACACGTGTATCCATATCCTCGACAGACTGACAAATAAGATGATAACGTTCAGTGATAACAAGTAAAACAATGGATTATATAGTATGAACACAATACGTACAGCAAAGGGTGTGATTGATTCGAATTTCCTCCTTTCCGCCCATCTGTGTCTTTCATCATCATCCACTATACCCACTCCCGTAATTCCCTTCCTATTCTTTCTTTTTACTCGATCCATTCTCCTTTCTGCACGAAACATCGGTATACTGAACATCGGTAAGAGGCACGAGCAAGTATGTATATAATTCCCGAATCGGACATCCTTGATAAATCGGCACGATAAATCGTCGGCGATTCAACCAACTGGAATCCAACTGGCAATAACTTCTTTTCATTTTACCTCTACTTGCACCTAATTTCTTCATGAATTCTGTGAAAATAAATAACACCAGGTATATAAATGCATTGATAAAATTCGAGGGTGTAACACGATCGATAAACAAAATGGAAAATCAATACCGATCGATTACAGAAGAAAGTGAAAGACATACAAGTGATAACGAAGTCCGGCAAGGGTAGTGGATCCTGGTCGTAAGGCACGTAGAAGCTGCCAGAAAAGGTAAATTCCTGAAGGTGTAATAACGAACCTTGTATACCTGGAATATGGTTACACTTCGTAGCGATGGGTATATCGATTAGGTAATAACTGTTATCGTTATCGTTATACCGACCTTAAAGGCCCAGGGCGATACGGCCAATCAAACGATTCTATGGTGTGTATCCCGTGTGTAAGGATCACCCTTTTCTCAGTTGCACCATTAGGTTTGGACGATACGAGGGAAAAAGAGTGACGTGGCATATACGGATGTCGTTGTAATGACTTTTTTTGGGGGGAAATATTAAAAATTATTAGGCACGATATGCTATTGAAATTATACCAGGTACGATGATTTTTATCGATATCGAGAAAATCACTCGTAACGATGAATGATTATCGATATTATTATTTAATACGGATATCACGATTCGAAGCGCCCGAATAGCCCACAGAAATATTCCTTTGCCAGCCTTTAACCTCTTTATGCCTTTTTATCTGACCCACGGGACAGTCACGTAATTCCTTGGCGAAGTTTAGCGTGAATGTTTTAGCATGATTCCAGAAGTACAATTACCGCCCTCTCTCGGTACGTACCCACCTAGCTCGAGCTACCTAACTACAACATCCAAGCCACTCTGATTATTTCACGGACGGGTAGCGCACTTTGCCACGAAGAGCCGTTTATATAAATGCTTTCCTCAGAAAATTACGAGCTCTTGATTGCGGCTCTGAATTCGTAACCTCAAAGCAAACACTCATATGCAGATATTACGGTGCAAGTTATACAGTCTCTGCTGTCTACCACTTCGTAAGTCAGACCCGAGCGCCATCTTCGCGATTGTATTTCACCTAAAGTTCATATACGTAATTTCAATTGAATCCGCGCACTCGGGCCCCCCGATTTTACACTCTGCAAAACATCAGCCTGATACTCGTCTGGACGAGAAAGCGTCGCGACGTCAAAGTGAATAGTGATAAGGGATATATTTCACCATAAAATCTTGCGACCCACGTATTTCAGTAAGCCAAAATAAATTATCGTATCGCGTTATTCATAAAATACGTTATAAAGAAAAAAAATTACCAATAATTTTATCAAAATGTCCAATTTTATGAAAATTTGTCAAATCTACATTTCCCCAGCTTAGTAGTGTAAGATATGTGCACTGTTATCGGAAAAATTTCCAGCTGACTTTATTCGGCATAAATGACAGACAGACCAACTACAGATACGTTGCCAACCAGGTGCCAACTTACCTGCGAGTTTTTAGGCGAAACAAGAGCGGCGTCCGTGGAATCAAAGTTTAACGACGTTTGAAAGACGCGCCCGCGAATTCCACGTGAAACTGACGTACCTCCAGAGTGGAACGGGATATACGTAAATGGACGTACGTCGTAGATTTGGAGGTTAGGCGCGGAACTGTTTCGTAGGCTGAACAAGAGGGACGTCCCGCGAACATGGTAGCCGGGTAATTCGATCGAAGTCACACAGAGACAAGCGGATCTCTCTCATTCGATATAATCCCGGATTTCAAGGTAACCAAGAGAGAAAGACAGACATCCAAGATGGCTGCCCGAAACTTTATTTACCGCCACGTAGATAACTGAAACTGATCTTTGTTTACCGCAAACTCTCGAGGAAGTCCGTGCCGGCCAACTATAAATACTACGATTTTCTCCAACAGACTACCAGGGGCCTCGACTATACGTTTCTGTAGATTTAACAGGAGGTCTTCCATTAATTTTCCGATTCTCTTACTATACACAGTGCCGCACGCTGCTTCCAGTCTGACTCTGGTCAACCCCCTCCCGACTGCCAACCCAACGTACCCTCGTCCTACCCGACGACCCCCGAGGATTTGTAGACCTTTTGTCGTCAAGCAGCTCCAGCGTGGTGGCAGGAAGAGGGGGGGTTACCCCTCCTCACCTCGTCCAACGTCCTACAAACTCGACAAACAATACGCCATCCCACCCTCTAATCTTCCTTCGCGATACTACAACACCCGGGTAGTTACGTTACTGCCCGCACCGCAGACCCTCTTTAATTGTATCAACGCTTATCGAGTTACTAATTGCAATTATCATGAATTTACATAGCCGTCGATTTTACACGGATATAGGCTTTGACGCCGGAATCTCGAGTTGCAGTAATATAGTCAATATCAGTGTACGGTGCATACGACATGGTAAAATTCGTAAAAGTGCGCGATGATTTTAAATAATTTTATTGTAATATATTATTAAATTATTATTATCATTATATATGGCACTGTGATTAAGCACAGAAATTACATGCGTAATGTTATAGAAAAATTTATCGAGATTTGACTGTCGAGTAACGCAGGCGTTGAGACCGGCGTAGGCTAACTGGCCTCTTTCAGACCTTCGGCTATAGACGAACTTTATTCTACTGCGTGACAGAGTGGTATACTATTGGCTGGAGGGCTTAATCTTAGTATAGAAAACTCATTTACTATACTTGGTCTGACTTTGCTACAGTTTCGGACTCTTGGGGTATTGAGGTATTAAGAATGTGCAGGCCAATGGAGATAGCATTAAGGAACGAGCTGTTTCAATAAAATATTAACTTACCCGAAGCGATGCGTCTAGTACTATATTATATTAACGGATACGTACGTACGATTCGTACCACACCGGTTTGCAAAAGAATACGCGGAACGGTACGGTATAGATATAGCGGATGCATGGAAGGCTGGATTCTTAAGTAAATAACAGCTGCCCATCTAATTTCCCAAACGGGTATCCCTGACATGCCAATTACCCCACGAAATTGATCACGGCCGTGAAAAAGAAAAAGAAAAGGGAAAAACTCCACCCTTATTCTTATCTCACTGAGGTCTTGTGATATCGGGCTAATTATCGGTGCTGGGCAGACGTGCTTTGATTCACGGTAATAAGAAAGTCTCGTGAATGCAATCACGAGTTTCCATCAGGAAAAAAAAGGGGGAGTTGAATATAAAAGAAGCAGAAACAAAGTCCCCGGTGAGGTTACGGGTGGATGAAAAGGGTTAAGGAGTAATAAGGATGCTTTCTTTTTTTTCCCAAGTCCTTTCGCATTAAAAAATATAATAACAACCCATACAAAATGGTCGTTAATATTCGTTCGTGGCCTGTCGAGTTATTCGTTACTTTCGCGTTTCCTTAATTTTATTTATGCCACTCTTTTTCTTTCCCTCCCTCAGTACCAAGGAACAAGACTAAATATTTTCCTTTCAGTCACGCGACTTCTTGCCTCGCGTCGCCTTTAGCCTTAAGGACAAAGGGAATTCAGGATCCGTAAAAGGGTCTCCTAGGCAGTCCTTATTTACCTTCCGTATACCAACCAAGGGAATAATATTTTTCGAAATCCGCGTTCTGCCGTTTTCCCATTATCCCCTGTGAAACGGAACAAAAGTGAACGAGGCACGCTGAAACACGAGACTCGACTGTTTCAATGGGAATTCCGATAGAAAACTGTAAATTGAAAATTTTCTTCGTAAAGCATAATTTACAGATTACAGGATAAAAGTTTTTTTTCTTTTTTTTTTCTTATCGGTCATTCGTACCGCTTCAACTGATCGCAACGTGAATTTATTTGTCGACCCTGCGCGCGACACGAAGCTACAAATGAAATAACGAGTGACTCCCGGGCGTTGACGTTGAACGAACGGAGCTTTCAAAGCAACGATTGTCGCCCTATGAAATTTCCTTATCAATTTACGTAAAACTTGCTTCCGACGAAGTCGCATCGGTAAATAAAAAATTAACCCTCGAAAATCGGATACCCAAAAACTTACCCACGTCAAGGAGCCATTCTTTACGATAATAACGAAGTCCTTCAGATACAACGAAAAAGTCATTCCGTCCGAACTGATATTGTCGCTTGTAATTTTCATTATCAGTGTCCTAAGTAGCCCGCTGATAAGCCCGACTAATTGCGCGCGTTACAACTCCAGGATGTAAAAACTCGTCGAGACGGACACTGTACCGTGGTCTGGAATACAGAATATTCAAAGCTCGAGTGGAAGGAAGAAATGCAGGTAGGATCGAGTGCTATTGAAAAAGTCGAAGTAACAGAAACAAAAAGAAAAAAAAAACAAGGCTATACTAGGAAGAAAACTAACCACAGAATTACCATGGAACTTTACTCGCAGCCGAAGCTACTGTTTTCGGTTAGACGACCAGACGGGTTCGAGTGGATCGCAGGTACGCAGCGCTGCGGCCAAGTGCAATTAAAAATTCTCAACTAACGCAACTGCTCGTAGGACTATTCTGCGTGCTGTGAGGTAAAAAAATTTAAGTTTTAAAAAAAAAGAAAAAACTAGCGGAAATTTTAAGCCTAGCACCGGGATTGCCGTCAGACACGATTTCTTCGCTCCTTGAGTAACCATTGCTTGGCTACTGTAATGAGAAAAGAGATGAATAAAAAAAAATCTACAAAAATATTTTATTTAATTCGTTTCATAATTCGTCGTCCACTGGAGCATGCTTTATGTGCCTGATGTAGATCCGCGATGTGCTTTTGCTTTTCATCGACCGAATGCGTATCACGCATAGTTTGTACGTACATTTTACTGCTGCTGTACATATATAGTATATATATATATATATATGAAGTACAATAACCCTCGACTATGCGTCCACGTGTGTAGCCAGTGCGTCTGTTAGCTTTTGAAACAGCCTGTCGTCTGCTGCGCGATTTAAAGCCGCCTCCATTCATTTTGACGCAAACTGGAAAAAAGGACACGACCGAAGAGACAGGCGGCGCGCGTAAATGTGCAGTCAAGTGAAAACGGAGTCGCAGACGCAACGCACAGAGCACGAGAGATCCACGGCGAAGCGTTGAATTCAGAAAAGCACTAAATAATTCAGAGTGGACGCAGGCTACGTTTCACGTTGAAGATTAAAAGAACCAAAGATAATTCCCTAGACGGATGAAAAACTACTGGATTACAGTGGAGGTAACAGTGGACGATTTAATTTCGCGTCCTGGCTGTCCATGCAAATTCCATAATACGACCCTCTTAGGATTAAGATCGGTACGATTGCCGAAGTGAACTCGAGTCACGAAAAGTTTCGCGCTCGTCGCGACGTCTGCCGGCAAAAGTTTGCGTAACTTTTATTCAGACTCGCTACGCCGCAGCATACTAAAAACTTCGGCTCTGTAACGACGCCCCGATAAAAAGGCGAGCCGATAAGACACGTGTTAATCGCACCGTATACATTGATATAGTCGATTTCGGGTGATTCTAAACAAAATCCCTAGAATCCCCTAGGCGGTGAAAAAATGAACGACAAACTTCTCGCTCGACAGCTATAAATTATCACCGGGCAAACCCGCGCCTGGTATACATACCGAGTGCACAAATTTACTCCGAACGGAGTATAGGCGTCCTCGCGACGCGTATAAACTTTTTCCAATGAAAAAAGCTTCGGTTTCCTATCTAAATGAAAATCTATTTCGTTGACGCAACCTATCCCCGATAAACCGTCTCGTTTCGAAAGTCCAGACAAAAAATTCCCTAGGGCCGAAAGCGCGGCCGGTAATTCGATAGAGACGTATGTGTTGTCCAGAAATTCCAGCCGAAAACCGAATGCTCCTATATACCATATGAGTATTCCCATAGCGATTCCATATCCAATATGGAAGCCGTGCTACTTTGTTCTGTGCAGTTGCTACGCGGATATATATATATATATACCGCGTAAGGGCAGGTTGAAATACAGAGTATAGGGAAGGGTCGCACGGGAGTCTGTAGGTAACCGTACTATAGGTACGAGTCTAGCAGGCGGTTTACGCGTCCCTTATAAGGGGTGCAGGGTTGCGCTATATGCACGTGCATGCGTAACGTATATATATATATATACGAACCTAGAAATTTCTACCAACTGGAATATGAGTGCAGCGCGCTGGGAGCTTAATGACGTAGCGACTGGCGAGACAAGAGGAAGGGTTGGAAAATGAGAGAATCACCCCCTGGTACATGCATTATGGAACCTCCTATCGTTATTCTTTCCTATTCTCATTGTATCCGCGACTAAGTTATTTTCTACGTGGAAATTATCCCCACAGATTCGCCACGTCGGACGTATTACCGATACGAGAGGAACGATTCGTTCGAAATATTTTTGCGTCCGACTGTCACCCCCTTGTCGCTAGGCGGGAAGATTGATAGAAATTTGAATCGGTCATGTCCGCCAACGCTAACCGGTTCTGCACTGTACTTGTTATTCTAATGTTTTTCGTATACTTAGCTATGGGCGAATAAGAGTACGTACTCGCTTCGATTAACGCTACGCGTATTTCACACTATAGCGCGCTTGACAATCGGTATTACGAAAGTATAATTTTTAATAATTTTCTTAACTAATGCTAATTCGTAATACGAATTGTTATTCCGTCACGTGGGACGACGTCACGTGGGAGGATAATGGATTATTACAGCAAAATGTTACTTGAGCGACGTGCTATTTGTAACACGATTTGAGAATGCTCGTCGAGATACGAGTCGGTATGGATATGAATTAAACAGTAACATAATTTTTGAGTATATTTTTTGAAAAAAAAATTTTGAAAAAAAAAAATTTTTTTTTGCCCCAATGTTTTGGAGTAAAAAAAGTTTCGATCACAATCGAAAAATTTTTTGGACTAAAATCTATGGTAGGTAAGTATACTATACTTCAGGACCATTTTTACCCTGAATGGATGTCTCGGCTAGGACGTAAGTTTCGCACTGGGAGATCTTCGTCGGCGATAGTAAGAGGCGCGGCAATATATATTTTTTCTACTTCGCAGAGACACGAAGACGAGTGTGTGACGGGAACCGAGTTGTCGCCCTTGGAAACTCAGAGGGGCAAAATCTTGGCAGCCCGAAGGGAAGTGGCGAGTGGTAAGTGGGAAGCGGGAAGTGGGCAGACGGGGAAGTAGAGAAGAACTCGAGGTTGGACCGCCAGGTTGGTTGCGAGCAGAATCGAAAGAGCCTCATTACCGCCGACGCTCGAGTAATTTGTGAGTCTTAAGTTACATTTGACCTAGCCGGGAGCCTAAAGGCCCTGCGTGGGCTATTAATGGCCCACGGAAATCCACCTTGTCTTAACTGCTAATAAGAAATTACAGGCTCTCCTGAATACCAAATTATTGATTAGACCCGGGATGCTGCTTCCTTATAAAATTACAGGGATTACGGGCTGGACCGTCGGGGAAGAGAATTTTTTTTTTCTCTCTCCGACGACGAAAGACACGACGGTTCTGCGGGACCGCGAAAAAAGAAAAAGAAAAAAACGAGACGTCAGGGGGACGTCTTTAGGATATTTTATCGAGATGCTTTTCCTTTTAACGTGAAACGTATAAAAATTGTCACACCCGTTAAATATGTAAATTAATTATTTTTCAATAATGCGACTTTTTAATAAAAACTATCACACGACCGACATGACCCAGTATCCAGCCAATGGCAATGATCTTTAATGAAGAAATTCTTCAGTCTTTGGATGACGGCCTGACTATTCCTGAAATTTCGAAAATTTTCATCTAATTACTGTATAATAACGTTGAAGCAGGTTACACCCCGACTGTGCTTTTCGATACGTATACAGCAGCGAAATCCCTGTGAAGTAGTTCAACCCCAATGAAAAGTGGTCTTGCCGTTCGGCTGCCGCTACTATAGCGCCTCCTACATTTCTGTATCGGAGTGTCGAGCCCCAATTCACAGGGTGATTTAATAGTAGCGTACCCTCGGCTTTAACAACTACTAACGCAGCGGCACCCTTTTAATTAATTTCTTTTATTTCGGCAATTACGTCATTCCAAATCGATTTTTACCCTCCTCCATACCGAATAGAAAAACAAGGCCCGAGGACTCTTGCATAAATAAAAATAATAATTTACAAACCACCCTGTATGTAATGTCCGAGGCTTCGATACCTCAAAAAAAAAAACCCTAATAAAATTGAAAATTTTTTTTTCACGCTCAAATTTACTCAAATTACACGGTACGCCGTGATAACGTACAAGCGTATTTATGAATCACCCAGTATATAAGGGGTAGAGTAGTCTAGACTGGGTGGAATGTCTTGACGGGGATTACGGAACCGACAACAAACCCTTGCACCATCGTATTCCCAAATCGCCGGAATATAACGGGGGGTATCGTAGAGATACCCGTAAGAAACCTTTATTTATACAGTCAACTATACACACAGGGGTAGACTTGTCATTTTTTTATCGCCAGCTAACGATTTAAATTCACACCCTATATACGTGTAATCCACCCGAGCGCCCTCCATAGAAATTATTAAGGAAAATTTTCGACTCTTCCTAAACGAAGAGTCTTCATGTCCATTTAGATAGTGCTGGCTGGTACTGGCGCTACGTAACTTCACGCTGTTACTTCTATATGCATGGTATACGCAAACCGCGTAACCTTGGCATTTCATCAATAGTAATTCACGGAATTATTACCGACGCCAGCAATACGAGTCGTAACGGCTTTGCCAACATCGCTACTACTGTTAAGCATTTACGCCGGACCTTTACGTGCGACAAAACTCGCTAATTTATATGTATAACGAAGTATGCGTAGTTTCCTACGAAATAGTGTGTCAAACAAAATAAGTGGCATATCGCTCTGCTTTACCGTATGAAATTTTTGTAAGTTTGACGTTGCCGGTTAGATATACTTACGAGTATGCATTTATTATACTTATTCGTAGGTAAACACTTGCCGATCGAGCCTATTTGCTATTCTTATTTATCGATCTGTGATTAATGACAAGTAATGCTATTGGATTTATGATGATACATAAAAATGTCAGTCTGATTTTTTGTTGTATATACATAAATAGTATTACAGTATAGATATATAGATATATAGATATATAGATATATATATATATATAGACGCGAATTACTAATTTATAGGATGAAAGTACGTCCTGGTATAAACGCGTAGTTTGTTTTGAAAGTGATTTTGCGACGCGACGCTCTCCGGAGGATATTTCCGTGACGGAGCGTCTGGTAATAAAATTCTGACACCAAGTTTCAACGATATCTACACGAGCTCGAAGTGTTCTGGGGATTCTAATTTTATAGTAAAATCCCTATCGGATTTCAGAATTTGGTCATTTGGTTGATATCGCCGGTGGTAGCTACTGCCATAAAGTGGCCGTCGCGCGTTAAAAAGTTCTTCGATAAGCCATTTGTCTAACGAAGGGTGAAAATCGTTTTAATCGCCACGTGCGTGCACCCTGATGACCTCCGTAAGACTGTAGTGACAATAAATTATACGAGTTGGCAGCAATGGCTGTTTAATGAAAAGATAACACGATGCTAATTGCCATCTGCATAAAAGCAAGGTGTTACATGTTTTTTTTTTATAAATGCCAGAGAGATGAGGATGCGTCGAATTTGACGTCCCGACGCCGTCACGTGCTTGCCAGTGAAGTTGAAAGATACGAACGACACGAAAACATACTTAAAGCAGTGATGTAATTTTTTTGGAAAAAAAAAAACAAAATTGGTAAATTATTAAAAGTGCGTCGACTAAAGGAAATTTACGTTCTTAGTATGTATTCAAGAATATGTATATTTTTTTTCATCTTCTAACGAAACGGCAGCAATTTCGTAAAAGCAGCCAACTTCATACTGGTTACAAAGAGACTTGATCCCTTTATTAGTTTATATTATGAAATAAGGGTGGGTTGGTAGAACCTCGTTGAAAGATGAAAGGGGAGATGCCGTGCGAGATTCTAATAAAGATGTCTGCCAGCTTCAAGCTGCAGGAGCTGTTCGCTATGAAATTATTATCAAAATGAACTTATCAGATTTTTGTGGATTTTTCTTTTTGTTCAAAAAAAATTTTCAAATGATACCTAGCCAAAGAGATTTCTAGTTCCACGATGCGTTACTAAGGGTAAGATCTGATCGATAGCACAAGGGTGGTTCCATACAGTGGCAAATGGATGAAGTAGACCTGATAAATTTCAAGGGGAATCCAATTTAAACTGTCCACCAAAATAAGCAATTACTAAGAATGATAATTAATCAGAGTTTGCTTAATGAAACAAATTGGCTGACTCCATGCTAAACGAACGGGAGCCATCTCCACCCTCCTCGCTCCCCGGCGCCACCGTCAGGAATAGAATTCGCGCTGAACGTAAATAACTGCCAAGTGCCTATTTTATCCTACGGCAAAGCGCAGTATGGGGTAATATAGTGTAATAATATATATATATAAGATAATTCAAAGGAAACTGCAGAACGACAGTCGGACGTTTAAACAAAATTTTCTTCATTCGCTAATTAACGTTTCCAAGCGACGTACAAGGATTATTCGTTTAATATCGTGCGAAATCACTTTAAATACCGAAGAATTTCAATCGTAATTCAGTCTTATTCAGTCTTCTTGAGCTACGTTCAACCTTCTTACAATTAAGACCCAGTATTCGCAAATACCAATGAAAGTTCCAGAATTTATAGGTAAATTACAAAAAAAAAACATCCGAAGCAGAGATGCTACTGTCGAAGGTTCGTTTTGTTAATATGCAAATTATCGTTCACCCTGGTTCCCACTCGGCAGTAACTACGGTCCCGTGAATACAGGAATTCCAAAATGGCGAGAGGTTATCTCCTTTTTTTTCTTAACGAGGTGAAAAAAAATTTACATCCTTCTAATGCGCTTCGGCGCCAATGGGACTGTCGTGAGGGAGCAATAAACAAGATTCGCCGCCATTATTGTGGTTCTTCGGCGAACTCACTCGCCCGGGCGATTCCTTAATAACTGAGAGTGAAAGAAGCTCGGGGCTTTTCCGCCCGGCAGATCCGCCGGGGAAACAAATGACGCCGTTCGAACAGTTAGCGGACTATCGCTCACGGTGACAATTCCGCCGCTGAAGAAAGTAGAGAGAATAGGGGGCCATTTCAGCAAAATTCTCTATTCCAATATATATATATATATATACACACACCTGTGCGTTTTCTTGAGAGACAAAAGAACTAACCTATAATCTTACCTGTCTTACATTCGCTTTACCTTATCTTTTGAGAAATATAGATTCAGATTACACAGAAAAGTTGCTTGTACCAGGTATAAAACTCCTTGTTTATCATGTTATTAGGCCTCAATGCTATTTAGATCGAATGCATCTTCCTAATACATGAATTTACTAGTTGAGACTAGAAAGTATAAGTAGTGATTTTTATGGACAAGTTAATTAATTATAACTAGTATGGATTTTCAGAAATTTTTCAAAATCATTTTTTTTTGTATTGTTACTACTACTGATATTCTCAGAATATTAATTATCAGCACCGACTAATATGACTAATTAAAACTTCGAGAAAGTCACTTCTATCTATAAAACAGAGTTGAAAGAATTTGCTAAGTAGATATTGTAGGACGCATTAGTTGAGAATATATATTAAATAGCAGGTTGGATAAAAATACATGGGATAATATAAATGCAATTGCAATCTGAAACGTTGTTATGTTTTTGGACCATTCTGATACGTAGAGTAAGAATACACTGGCAGCCCGTGCGCCGCTTCGTGTGGCCATTGTATACTATAAATTTGACAAATAATTGCATCAACATTATTAAAACATACATAATAAATCATTAACACCATTAAGTAATTGTATCCCTTCCGAATAACAGGAATAAATAAATAATAAAACATTGAAATAAACAATTTAAAAAAACATAATAGTAGGTACTTGAAAACATAAAAAAAGAATCTCAAGGATTTAATGTGCAGCGTACAGTGCATCGAACCGTAATTTTACTTTCAAGGAAACGTATAACAGCAATGTATTACCGGAGACAAGGTTCACTGAATTCCATTGTGCATTATCCACATGCGAGTAAAATCGAATGTAAACGTTGACATTCTCTAGTTATTTCTCGAACAAAAAGGCATAGTAGCTACGAACGTGACACCTGGAACGGGAGACCTGGGCATAACCTAAAAATGTCAAACGTAAAAAATGTCACTACAAAATCAAATCCTTGAAAGTCACAGCAGTCTCTATACCAATATGCTATGATATCTGTGTATTACTTTCGATATATTCTGTATTATATAATCTAAGAAATAAAATTGTTCTTCAGTGTACATACCCATAGCCAGTAAGTATCCAATGTGAATGCAAGATCGTCTAGAGGTCGCGTCGGTATGAGAGTCGCTCTCGTGGCTCTCGTGGGACATGTTAGCTTCGCACGTGATATAGAGAGCTTACCGTCTTGAGTATCTGAGCTTCTGTAGATGCCTGCAAGTTCCTAAGAAGCTTCGAAGCTCTTTGAGTACACGTGCACGTCTCTCTTAGCTTATCGCGTGCGTCCGTGTCCTTCGGATGTTTACGCCAGCATGACCAACGCTCGAGTAACGCGTCGTCTAACCAGTGAAAATACATCCTTGGCCGTACAATTACACCCAACTGTATCACAATAACACAGGAGCTAGACCTACTGTAACATCACAAACTTCATATCGCACTTTTACACATAACCTCAACTAACCAGGTATAACTTTAATATTGATTTAAACCGAGTACGATAACCTCGCCAATGCGACTCGGCGTGCTGTAGTAATCGAGCGCGCGACTAACTTGAAGTTAGCCTCGAACCCAGATAGTCGAGAATTCACGAGCGATTATCCTCGCGATAACGAGTAAGGGAATCTCGTTTGGTTTCTCGAAACGTGCGTCGTACCACGCGTGGATTTAAATCCACGAAAGCCGTTAAGCTTGCCATTATGTCCCGTAAAGGTATGTTAGATATATACATAATATATATGTTTAATGCGTCTATGTATATGTATATATATATATCGTCTAATACGTTTGTCGGATGGAGTTCGTTGACTGAACTGTATCATAAATATTCCTAGCGGAAGTGACGTTACTTGAAGTGGGTCGAAGTAATCTGGTATATTGTATATGTCGTATATAAAAAATCTATCCGCCTTCGTATTATGTGTATTTATGATATAAATAGATAAGTATAAGGATGAAAAAAAGGATGCTGATTGTGACATTGAAATAAGTAAAATTAAAGTCTGTTCATAAATCCGATGAATAATACGAGTATAACGTTCGCGTAAGAGGGAAATAATAAAAAGATCCTCGTATATTTTTTTCTGACATGAGAATCAGTTTCCAGTACTGTGTTATATTTTTTTAAAAAGAACTCAAGTGTCTCACGGCAACAGCGGAATAGGTAGTCCGTGCATGCCTGTTCCAGAAGTAGAGATCAATACCGTGTAAAAAAGGAAATAATAGGGACATTAAAAATAACTTTTCAATACGATTACTCAATACCGTAAATTCCTGTATAAGAGGCGGGAGAGTTGAAAAATATTTGTTTCCCCTAAACGTGAAAAAGGGAGGATTAATCAATGTTGAAAGTAATGTCAAATGACAGTTCCTCTTATCGATTTTCGCAATCACGATATATCCAGGTACAGTCAATGCGATAAGAGATAATAAGATTTTAATTCAACTGCAATCTATCGTTTAATCCAACTTTTAACCGATAAGAGGATTATACTTGGTTAGCAGTAACAACACCGTATTGCTTGCTACAACTAATTGCACCGTATATGCATTTGGTAAATAAAGTAAAGCAGTAGAATATCCACGAATCATAAAAAAAAAAACGTAAAAAGTAAATAATTAAATATAAATAATTAAACTGACCCGCATCATAAATTTACGTATACATAAATTTTTGAAAATTCTCATACTTTCCGATAACAAGTATAACGACCGTAGAAACGAATGCAGTAAAAGCCAAAATTTCTTATAACTTCGAAATTACGTGTTGCAATTCTCAAAATTCCGAATGAAAAGGTCGCAGAGGAGGTTAAAAAACTTTTTTGTGAAAAATGACAACCCAAAGTACCTATATCTTTACATATTACCAATAATATACCAATAAGTCAAATATTAATTTTAATGGCCGAATAACGTCAAATTTTACCCGAAGAATTGAAATGCGCGATAATGAAGTTTGTATATAAATAAATGGTTAGCTGGGTATCCGTTAACAAGTGACCCTTCATTACGTAGCTAGCTTCAATTACTCGGACGATCCATTCGAATTCATGTGAAACGGGCCTTTCCACTCTTCCCTATGTACTTAAGGTAATGAACACCTGCTAGAAGGTTCAAAGGCAGAGGACATTACGCAGTAATATGGAAAATGAGCGTGGAAGGTTGGGAATTACGAAATACGTAATAAAGTGTAAAGTTGACCGTTCAATCGAAATATGCTCATATAAAGCATATATGCTAACTGTGTAAGCCAATATGCATAAAGTACATACCAAAGCTTGTAAAGTCACATACGAGAGCGTGGCTTGGGTCATAGTTCAAAATACAGGTACGGTGATCGTGGCTGGACCACCCTTCATCTCCCGATGACGCAATGCACCTAAATATTAACGTCAAGAACCAGGATATCCCACAGGCGTGGCTCTATTACCCAAAATACCAACCTTGCATTTATACGACCCTAGTGCACCTGCGTTTCGAGGGTTAGATCGGATGAAAAGTTGAAGGAATGACGATCGCCTCAAAATCAAATGTCTAATTTGTCCTTTGCCCATGAAAAATCTTAGCTCCAACGACGAATCTTGCAGCACGCTCGTTTAAGTGTCTATAAAGTTTCACGACTTTCCCCGACACTGATAACCAACCCCTTTACAAGACACGCAGTCACTGATATAGCTATATATAGTAACCGCTACGTGAACCGGACGCGGCATCGCGGATTTAACTTTAGTATCAGTGAGTCTTAAGAAAATTGCGTGTTTTACGAGCGTCTCGAATGGCAGCGGTTTAAGAGAAATTGCTTCGCACCGTGGGCACTGGGCTCGGTATCCGTGCTTCGTGGGCCACTCGTTTCCGTTTATGCCCAATTGAATAATTGATTCGACACGGGAATTGGAAAAGTTCGTCCCGGAAGAGAAGGGGGGCAGCGCGCCCCGCCGAACAATCGTCGGATTTGCCAAGCAGCTTTGTCTCCGGACGACGCATTGTTCTCGCGTATAAGGGACGGACGCCGTCAGAGTCATGATTCTCAAATTGACCGTCGTGGCGCTGCCGTCTGCACGCACGTGCGGTTTACTAGTTTCTCGTTTATCCTCGGACGATATTTGTGGCCGCCACTCAATTTTACGTTGCCTGCTGGATGTATGTATATATAGAGTATATTGTACAATTACGTAGTTTACATTAAGAATCGTATCTCTGTGACGAATTAGCTAGAAAATTGTGTACTGACGAAAATCATGAGAATTTCAATAAATTTTATTCGCATTTATATATATGTTATTTTATCAAACTAAATTTATTATATTTACCGATGATACAGATGGCGCCACCGTTCTTCTACTTACCAGAAATTTCATCGTCTTGCACGGTCGTAATGGCGGAGTGAATCTAGGCGCCGTAGATCTGGTAGGAGCTTCCGAGTGGGAATAAAAAAAAGAATTTATTGCTCTCGCTCAAGTTTTACGTTCTTTAATCGCCGCGACCTTCTCTGGAGAATTGCTTTACGTCTTTGCTCTCCTTTGATATTTATCGTGGCTGTTACGAAAATATTGGGACTACTAGCACGACTATCTTAGATCCACATTTCTGGATACTTTTAAAGCTTGAGCTTGTTCAATGACTTACTCACTCGTTTATTGCTTATTGGTTTGTAATTTCTTGAAGATCTATGTTCTTAGGATAAGACAGTGCTATGTCAAGGAATAAAGATCTTTATGATGTTTTTCGAATTTTATCACTGATATGATTATAGCCCGTTCACGAGTTAAAGGGCTTTCTGAGGGGCCATCTAACTTAGGACTTTTAATGCCTTACAGTCCCCTAGACCGGATCTTTTACTACAGAACGAGCTGTACTTGGAAAATGTATATAACAACTCCAAGTATATTATTTTAATATATTTTTTAGAGAGTTCGGGTAATTTCGAGATTGCTCTACTTGCGATATCATCGTCTGATTAAAAATTGCTTTCGGGGAGAGTCTCGAAAGCTTTTATCGTAAGAGCACGTGTTCTATATTTACAGTATACTCCTTTATCGTATACTTTAACGTGTACATACTATATATATGTTTTTAAAATTTATAAGAGGACGAAGTTTTCGCTCCGTCTATACTTTCGGATATTTTTGGATAATCTGAAATTTTAGTAACTTGGTAACCCCTTCTGATGGAATCATAACAAGGCCTAACGATACGCTCAAGGGGTATCTTCGTAGGTAATTACGGATAAACAGCTGTGTTTGCGTAACGCAGGCTGTAAAATGTAAGCGTCAGGTAAACGGGCTACTGGGAATCTAATGAAACTGTCATCTTATAATCATTATCATTTTCACGTAACATTCCACCATTCTTCCATACCAAATTTCCTAAGCAGAACGAGACGAATTATAGGCACATAAAAATTGACGCGAATAAAATTCGTCCACACGTCGAAAGCGAAAGTATCGATACGAGTATTTAATTATTGGAATGAATCAATTTTTTTTTTTTGGTCATAAAATAAATTGTTCGAATTTTTATCAAATTCTTGGCAATGTCAAAATTAAAAATTTTTTTTTCAATTTATACAACTCTTTTTTTGCATACTACAAAATAATGACATTCGTTCCCAATGTATGCTACTTTATCGATTTTTATCAATAATTCATCTGATTGTCATTTATCTAGATCGACGAACTCGTTAAGCTCGTCCTATACGTGTTTCGCGCGATGCTCGTTACACTTAATTATTAAAATTTTCTACTAACACGACATAACGGCAATAGCTAATACATTGGGGGAAACCAAAAAGCCTTTCGTGATTGTACCATGAAATTATAATTTTCAAAGCCAGAGGGGACAAATAATTAATTAATAAAAGGACAAATGACAATTGATCGGATTACCGGAGAAAAAATAATTGGATAAAATTTAATATCGACATGAAAAAAAAATATCCATATTCAAACTAATGAAAATTTTTATACTTGTCGAACGTTGATTAAATTCCGAAAAAAAATTTATTTGACATAAAAACTCCGAATCCATGTCCCAACGTCGTACAGCCTAATTAATTTTTACAAATTAACATTCCCAGTCCGATGTATTCCATAAATCAGCTAGTCTGAAATTCTCAGAATTAAACACGTCACTCCTATCATCCGGTAATACAAATTGATTAAAATCATAAGGTAATTAGCAATTAGTGCCTGTTTGTGTTGCAGCTCCACGTGAGTTTACGTTCCACCATTACCCTATCGGGCAGAGGGTTGGAAATGTCAGAGGGTCAGACACGTGTGTCCAGCGTTAGTATCCCGATCAAGTCATTACTGCGTTACCGCATGCATTCACCCCAGGAGACGAGGGGTCGTTCCGGCAACAAGACGCAACTGATTGCAAAAGCAGCCAAGCGCAAGATTTACCCGCTGCTCTCGTTCCTCCTTATATGCCAAATCAAATCGTCCGATTGCTTGAAGTGAGCCCGCATCGTCAATAGCAGCCCACTCGGCTTAAGGGGTGGTTTGTGGTATTTGAAAAAAATGTTCATTCAAGGTCAACCCAATATTTACTTATTTATATTCAACCCAATCGAACTATTATTATTTAATAATAGTCGCGAGAGCGACCTAATCTTCATTCCGTAGCTATGCATACAATCAATGCATAAAATGCATTCACTGCATTCCGTTATGATCGACGCTTAATAATTCTGGCCGCTACGAAACAACGATAATCCGACGTAATGAGATTCCAACGATAAAGTTATTTCAATCACAATAAACGCATTGCCGAACTCCCGCGGGAATTCGATCCGGTTTACCATCTATTCTGCATCGTATGCATGCATTTCGAATATTGGTCTATATGCTTATATACATATGTATATACTATTATATATATTGCGTATTTCTAATTACTATAGATTTCTACCGATCGAAAAACTTTAACGCAATATCCTCAGGGAATCGTTAAAAGCGCGAGAGCGCTGGGCAAAATTTAGTTATATGATTTTTAAGCTGGTGTATGTATATATTCTTCTATGTAACTCATGCATGAAAAACACTACTCTTCGTGCCTCCGAAGTGTGGCGAAAGTGGCGCTTTATATCTATGGATACGATGAAAATGCTGCGCATGCGCAAATCGGCCCAATTTTACATTATCGCGCTAGTGCGATAAAGTAAACTTTGTTCTCGCGCGCTGTCACGAAATGCATTCAGTTTGGAAGCCTTCCTTGCTCTTCTTATGGCTGCCTCCTCCAACGAAGAGACGTTCCAGTCACTTTGGAGGCACAAAAAGTAGCGTTTTTCATGCATTCGTTACAGAAAATATTATGCGATACTGGTACAATAAAGCGAACGTTATACGCAGTTCGTGAAGTTTGTCACACTCGCCGCACTCGTGAAACAAACAGCACTCGCCTTCGGCTCGTGTCGTTGTGTTACTTTGTGCGGCTCGTGCGACCAACTTCACCGCCTGCCTGTAAAGTTCGCTTTCTCGCACTTGTATCGCAAAGTACTATTATTTTAACTTGACCGGTAGGTATGGTAGAACGAGATAGGCGGCCTTATATCTCTTTTTGGTGGTTAGTTTTATTTCTTAATTTATTATATAATTTATGCGATTAACCTTGCAGAATTTTAATGATCTCGTTATCCAGCTAATGCGGGAAAACTTCTACGAGACTCAATGGGTCCTTGGTAGTTGGTTATATCGACGAGTAAAAATAGACACAGTGATATCGTCGTACGTCGACACATCCAGGAGCGTCGATGATATTCGAAAGTACGACGACTCGTTAACCAGACTTACGTACAGTGAATATCCGAGTCCTTTTGTCAAATCTGACACGCTCCGCCCTTTCGAACCCACAAGCAGAGTGTAAGCCGACTGTCTGTACCTTTTCAAGTAGGAGGCAGTACAATGCTCAATTAGCATCGCTATCGCAATCCGGCCTTCCTAGGTCATCGATTCATTCCCACGTCCTAGTGAGTACAGTTAACTCGGTGAAACACGAACACGATAAAAATGTCTCTGGTCACGTGAAGAAAAGAGAAAAAGACCAGAAAAATATACTTTAATTTTTACCTAGTACAAAGATCACGTACCCCCTTTAAAGAGTGAGGTTATGCGAATACAAAAGTTTTGTGTAAAGTACGTAAAAAAGAAAAACCGTTTTGGTCTTACCTAAGAGTAATATTTTTTTTTCTTACTGTCGGGATCACCAACACTTGCCCGCTCGTACAGTTCCAAGTATGTAGCAAACAGCCAGAAGATGCGACGGGAAGAGTAGGATGCGATGTAAAAAGAAGAAAAGTCTCTTTAACGCGTAAGCCGTATAACGGTGTCGGCAACACTATTTACGGAAGGACTATTTACGGAATGGTGGAATGGCCAGGGTGGCTCGTTGCTTCGCGAGAAGGCGAGCTCCTTAATTCGACGAGGGACAAATGTGCGCTGGTAAAGGAGCAAGTGCAGTCTGTTAGTTTTCCTCGTGTCGTTTCTTTTTACCTACTTCGGTCTGTTACGCGGGCTCCTCATAAGTTCCACCTTTTCCCACCGCATCAGAACGGCGCCACGTCAGTTTTACTCGGCAGCCGGTACAGCCAGCGCCACACCATTGTGAAAAGTGTGACAGGATAAGAGATACGTCCAGACTCTTTTCTCGTGAGTACCTACAGAAAAACCGTCTCGACACTTGGATGTACGCGACTGCATGTCGTAAGCATATTAAATATGTTAAACGTATGTACATACCTATATAGGACGTCGTTACGCGGCGCAACGACATCTACGAGGCATTCTCGTACCATATAGTTACAAGCCCGAGAACTTCCTTATGGTTAAAGGCAAGAAAAGGGCGCGGCCATTATGCCACGTCGTGAATGCACTTTAAACGATATAAAATCTAGTCTCATTCAAGGTCGACATTTTCTCACTGCCCACGTGACCCTTTATGCTCACGGGAGGAGGAAGCAAGAAAGTTATTAAATTGACACAAGAGCATAAATATCCATATTATTATTAATATCATAGTAAACAAAGTTTAAGCGTGTACCGTTTCCGGATAAGGAATATTGTCAGGCTCAGTGAGGTTGGGTATCATTAATTTCAAGACGCAGGACTTCAATTTCACACCGTTAGACACTACTCGCATCTTTCCATTTATATGTCTGACATGCCCAGCGCCTCTCCGCAGTATATTGCTTTGATGTGTCGCTGGTAATATCCTTGCACCCTATACTTGCTACCCCTTTTAACCTTCTGCCAAAGAGTGTATGTATATAATGTAAGTATTCCAACCCCCTTCTGTGCACTCGTAGTAATAAGTTTCATAAAGCCTTGGAATAAAGTTACCCCACCTGAACCAACACAGTGTGCTTCTTATAACCTTTCGTCCCCCCCTACACCCACCCACCCTCTCACCCCTTGCGCCAACCATCCATTCGACTAAATTTAGTGGCTCTAAATTTAAACTATGTTTAAAAAGTCGTTGCTTTGGAGTTACGTGGTACTCACCATCGCACAACCCTTTCGGCTCGTAAGCTCGTAAATACGTTTGAGATATAGAAAATATTGATCAGTACCTATTTTGTGTTAGGTTGGTACCTTTCGTTGCTCAATTCGAAAATAAAAAACAAATTTCGTATCCCAGTGAAAGCTTCCAATATATCGATTCCTACCCTTATCAGTGTTCGTACCATACATTTTTTTTGTTTATTTTTTATTTGCCCGATGGGGTAGCGTATCGATAGATTTGTAAAGCGATACGATATAATCGAGTCGCACGCGTCATTTTCTCATTTATCGATAAATTTATAGGTATTATTGATTATCGAGTATGAGTATGGATATTGCGGCTGGCGGAGGACTCGAGTACAGTCGAGGAAGCAAACGCATATTTATTTAATAGGTGATATTAGGGTTTTGGTAGAAGCAGATATTTATTGATAGGGATATCGGTACGAGTGTCATTTTATTAAATTGAACGGATGTTTTTATGAATTTCGCAATTTTTATCATTCGAGTGTTTGGTGGGAGTTTGAATGTCCCGCCAGTTTTTTTGGACGCTTTACTAGTTATTTTGATAACGAAACTTTTTTCGATGCTTTTGCGAACGCGCAGTTTTTCGAGGTATAAAAATGCAAAAGACACTGGAAACGACTTGGGGCGACGAACACCATGCGATATACTTTGCATTATTTATTTAATGTTCCTCTTAGGCGACGCTGAAACGCCACTGAAGACCAAGAGAAAAATAAGAAGAGGACGGACACGCGGAAGCACCTCACTGGAGTTGGTAGCAGTGGGGCCATTTTGCGAACGTACCGAAATTGAGACAAATATTAGCAATAAGTATTCATGGTTTTAGACTTGTTCGTGAAAATACGTATCCACCTATGCTCGTATAAAGAAAAGGACAAGAAACGTTGGCTTATTTCGAGTCTCGCAAGCTGCAACCGACTGCAACTGGATATCGAGGATAGCAAGAGAAGCAGAAAGAAGAAAAGCTAAGAAAATCCCACGGGAACGTATCAAGGATTTCTATGGAATATTATATGCCATAGTTTGAGCCATACTCTGCGCTGTACTGAATAGCTTTTAATATAGAAAGAGGGAGGGTACCGTCGAATTTTTTTTTTTTTTTTTTTTCAATAATTTTGAAACCTTAAAATTTCAATATCCGTCTCTTTTTTTTTACAGTTTCAATATACCCTTGCGTACATTGGTTGAGTAAGGAGACGTTAAATTATTTCGAGAATGGACGTCCCACGTACGCGACTTTTAAGGCATAATTTTTAGATTTTTCAATTCTTCACAATATCAAATTTATTTGTAGACGAAAAAAAAAGTACGTGCAATAGCAATTTATAATTTTTTAAAAATTTATGTACGTAATTTACATTACGTGCATATCACTTATATTAGCTACGGCCAACGTAGGTCGAACCCGTCGATGAAATTATACAGGCAATTTCCATGGAGCGATAATTAAATATCGTCTATGGAAATATTCGAATCGTTGAGCGAGCATGGAGAGAATATAATTTTTGAAAAGCCTTGAGCATGTATAGATACGGGTTATATTTTGCCATGTTAATTAATCCAAAATTTTTTTTAACCTATCCGAACCATTTTCCTTCATAAGCTGTATCAAGAACCATATTGATCTCAAAAATCTTTCAAAAGTCTTTTGGATCATCATCCGGCCGGTCCAGACCGTCATGCTTTATACGGATGCTGCACGCTGTGCACTCCATTGATTCTCTAACTGTATATACCCGTATCCATCGAGACACCTGTTTCTCACGAAGGTACCGACTTTTATAGCATCGAGAGAGTTAGTTAGAGAATGGAATAGTTTTTCGTGCTACGCTACTGGACGGGATATTGATCGAGGGGTTGCAGAGACCCTTACACCCGACGCCAGCAGTGAGCCCACCCTTATAGGCTCTCACACATTCGCATTATACTCCAGAAGTCTTCGCGAGCGACATCGCGCCGGAATGTTAATTTTTTGTTGCCGTCAAGAGATTCTTCACCTTGACGCACCCTGAAGGAGCTAATCGATTCCAAAGACCCCTTCTCGGTGTCTTGCCGAACACCTGAAAACTTAAATCCACTGTCCGAGAATGCATTGTCGCATACTAAACCCAACGTACGAGGAAAGCACGTGGTCAATTATGACGTAACATAAAATTAAAACCGAACCACGATTACCTACATTGATAAATATATTGACTAAAAATAAAAAACAAAACTCATATTCAGCAGTACAATAATAAAATAAATTAATGACTCGCTAAATTTTTTCTCGTAATCATAGTTAAGCGATGATTTACATATAAATATTTTTCTTCTGACATGAAATGCATCGACCATGGAAAACATGTAGAAAGGTATAGCTACGACTCTGCCAAACCGGAAGCCCCGTTGTTGGGGTCCCGTGCCAAAAAGAGTTGCCGTAAGGATTGATGAAAAAAAAATAGGAAGTGGCACACTCATCTCAAGGATTTACAAACGAGATTTCGAAATCCATGCAGAATCGCACGTGATGGATTTTATTCTTGTTACGTCATACGAATCTCCATTCCACAGTTA